TTCTTTCTTTCTCTCTCTCTCTCTTTCTTTCTATTTTTTTTTCTAAACATTTTCTGAACTCAGGCAAAAATATTTGCCAACTTTTCAGAAACTCAAGTAAGTGTGATCTTGGAATACCATACCGCTTGGTAGGTATCAGGTGAAGGTGGGGAGTATGATCTCTGGACAGGTAGGCATTGTGAAGCATGAGTGGGTCATATTTTGATACTCAACCAACAACTTAACCATTAACCAGTTAACTAATAAAAACCTTGCCATTAATGAATATTTGTTACAGTCCCACTTTGTACCCCAACTGCAAGGAACATACAAAGTAAAATATTTCAGTCAAATAAAAAAATTCAATGAAATAGCTCATTACTTTCTTCAATAATTAGAAATGTTATGATCAAGTGATTCTTTTCAAACAGATCTTGGATTTAATATTGATACTAGTTCACTCAAAGAGAAGAACTATTATAAAAATAACAAAATTTACAAACTCAATATTACCCTTGGGTGGGTTTTGAATAATACCCACAGTGGGGCTAAATTGATTTCAATATCCACGAATCTAATTTTGACTAACATATTTGGTTAAGTTATATATCTTTCTTTCCAAAAGGAAAGCAGAGCTCAACTCAAATACCTTTTATTTCTTTTTTACAACTACATAATAATTTTGGAGGACTAGAAAGATTCGATTTCAGTACAGCAATCAACAAACCTGTTCTAAAACCTCACTTAGTTACATTGGTCACAGAAAATCTTAGGTTGAGAGGACTCCCAGGTGATGGGCTTGGTTGAATTTCTCTGAGGGCTTGGGCCTCTCTTTGATCTCCCTGGTGGCCCCGATGTGATCACACTTGGCACAGTTCTATGGATCCTCACTGAAGGAGGCTGTTGACAATCTTTTGGGCTTATAATCGCCCAAGGGATTGTCAGGACCCCAAAAATGGCTGGAAAAAAGAATTGCTTTAGGAATTCAGGGAAGCTAGAGTTGTTTGCCTTTCTGATATTGGCCTATTGAGACATTTGCACAAAAAAACGCTAGGCAGGCCTAGCATAATCAAATAGAATTGATTATTATCTAGTTTAAATGCACTAAAGATATTGAACTTCCCTTTTTAAATCACAGGAGAATCCGGGGCTGAACTATGAAAACTGGGAAAAAAACAATGTGAAGAGTACTATAAAAATGTGAGTCATTTAAAAAATGGATTTAATATCAGCCTTTGTGAATTATATTTGATGTTCCACCCATCATGCTCTGATATCTGTAGGGGAAACAATGAACGGTCTGTGATATGCAGACATAATCAAGGGAAAAGTCCTATTTTATTTGTTTAATAGCTACATAACCTATGTAGGAAACACAAAATGATTGTGGAAAGATACAAAGAATAAGATGATTTTTCACTTTAACGAAGTAGATGTGTGCGTGTCTGGCATTTTGTAAGCTTTTTAGAAGCAGAGAGTGGGCGTGTGTGTTTGTGTCCCGGGAATTATCTATAGACACGGCGGGCACAGATCTTTTTCTTTTCTTTCAAATAAGACCCAGAAGACCTGTATCCTTTTTAATGAGGTGATGCAATCAATCCCTTAACCTTATTTTCCCAGCTGTCAGCAGCTGGAGGCCCACATCATCCTGTGTAGAGAGCGTCTCTCAATAGGTTCTTATGTGAGGAGCAACTGGTGAGTACAGCTTGTCATATTAGAAATGCTAATGTTTGCCTTACCTCTTCCTTCTCAGCACTTTGCAGATCACGCCACTCCTCAGTTACATGACCAAAATCCACTGTGTTCATGGGGACTTTAAATTCCCCAATGATGTCATGCTTAGAGAAACGATCAAAATCATACACGGCCATCACCAGGGTCTTGCCACCCAATTCTGAGTAGGGCACCTAAATAAAGAGATGAAGATAAAAATCGGGTCACAAAAATGCTTAAAATGGATGACTTGGTTATAGTGTTTAATTTTAATACTTAGTTGCAGAAACAAAATGAGGATAATCGTGCTTTTTTAAAAAAAAATGGAATCATTTGAATAACTGCTTGAGGCTCAAATTGGGAGAAAATAGAGACTTAACCGTAGTCATCTTATCACCTTATCCTAAAGTTCTAGAAGCTATTAGTATTATTGGTAATGAGGCTTACTATTAGTCATCCTATAAACACTTCAAGATTTAGCAGTGTCGGCACACAGTAGGCACTTAAATATTTATCATTAGAATGATTAGAATGATCAGGTGGGAATTTGACAGAAGAATAAATCAAGCAAATTGCACTTGACTGTGTAAGTTTTACTTGTAGAATATTTTGTTATTGTTATCAGTTATATATTCAGGGTATAGCTTATTTGGGGTAGAAAACTTGTTTCAAAAGTTCTATTAACTCTTTCAAGCAATTTGGATGGCACAGTTGAATGGAGCAGTGATTTATAAAAAGATATGCTAGGAGTCAGAAAGGATTGAAATGAAATTCACAAGTTGCTTCACCTACTCCCTAAAATAATTTACTGATTGACAGGAACTGACTAGAAAATTGATGTTTTGAATATCAGAGATGCATTATAATATAGATCTTGAAGTTCATTCTTAGGTATGACACTTTTTAGGATGAGTCGTGGCAAAAGGCCCAGAACAGATGAATTCTCCAGCTGTTCAGATAGATCTGGGACAGATGCTATGGGTTGGGATTTTTATTAGTGACATTTTTAATATTCAGGGAAAGTAGTACGATCTAAGTAAGCTATGCTTCAGTAATTGGGTAAAAATGCCTAATTAAGAAATTGTTTAGACTTGTATTGAAGTTTTGATCAGTGTTTATTTATCGGTACAAATGGTTGTCTTTGCTCCCTCAAACATTTCTCAGTGAACTCTGTATATTGAGGGGGAAGGAAACATATTTGACCATAACTGTATAAGAAATTCTAGTTTTTCAAAAGTTTTTTTTTTGTCACTTACTTGTGATATATTGGGAATCTGATTAAAATACTTAGATTAAAAAGGAGGAACAATACCTTTTCCATTTTAGAAGAAAAAAAATAAACCCTTCCCAAAACTGAATTTCAAATGAAGAGATGAGTTTTAGAGTAGGGATAAACTCTTTAGAAATTTCATCTTATTTCTGAAAATTACTCTGGATTTTTTTTTTTTTTTTTTTTTTTTGGTGATTCTATTGAAATGCCATTAGTCAGAAAACCTGGGCTTGGAGTTAGGCAGGCCCAGGCCTGGGTTTTCCCACTTTCCGGCTGAAGGGCCTGGGGCAAGTGAACCAACTACACACTTTTCATCTACCAAATAGTGATAATAGTAGGGCCCACTTCACAAGGCTGTTTGAGGCTGAATGGATCCATGTGAGGCATTTAGCACAGTGTTGACACAGTAGGCACTTCTATATTATTTGAATGATTAGTAGCTCCTTCAGGTGGGAGTTTGTTTTGAGGAAAAGAAGCAACCCTTAGGTTGGGGATGTCAAGTTCATATCAAGTGGATTTGAACTCCGTTTTAAAGCTTATGCTCTTTAAACTGTTGTGCTTCTGTTCTATCATCTCTCCTAGTGGCATTTCAAGATGCGTAGTCTACACTGTCTACTGGTGAAATTAACCAATTCTCTGGAAACAGCGGCATGGTTCGCGGCATGGTTCTTAAGTGTATCAAAATATATTACACTTTGGGTTGATTTATGGTTTGATCAACATTCTTGAGATAAAATGGAACCTGATAAAATTTTATAGGCAATTTAAAAATTTCAATAATTAAACTTCATGAGGCCACAGAGATTCTTCATCAGATTTTAGGAATATATTATTTTTAAAAATAACATATGAATAACTCAAAACAGAAAGCCCCCTTTAGTAATTCAACAAATTTAAGAATCTGCTTACTAAATCATGGTTAGAAACCACTGACCTAAATTGAGTTTAAAACATAGTCAGATAGTATGACTGTGATTACCATTTGCAGTATTTTATTAGTTTTTTCATTTCATTTTGTGGTGTATTGGCCGTAGTGATTAGTTCTTCATAAGCGGAGTAGTTTCAGAATGTTTTTATTGCTACTCTAAATGAACTCTCTGGGCATAGAAAAGTGTAGTTTTTTAGAAAAGATTACTGACAAGACATTGGGGATTTTTTTTTTGTCTTAAAACCTCAAATTTCAAAGTGAAGAGAAAGACACTGCTCTTTTATGAAATTGGAAACAGGGCTTGAGAAAATGACTCATGCCCTTGGTTTCATCCGTTTATTTCATACCTAGTATTTGCCAACATGAGGCACATGCTTTTGCAAAGGCTGGCTGATAGATGAGGGATTCTGAATCTGCCTGCTTGCATATTCACAGAACTTTCATTTTTCAGAAATGTATTATTTTAAGTAATTTAAATTTTTTTTCACATATTAAAGATAGCTACCAAAGCACTGTTTTTATGCATGACTTCAAGACAAGAGCTACAGAACTTGTGTATGCAGAGACGCCCGAGGCCCGCAGATCACCTTTTCCTGTCCAGTTATTATCCTATGGCCAGAATCTCTCTTGGTGATTGTCAACTGAGATGTTTCAACAAGATGAAGAAGACTAGGGAACAGATAGCAGTTGAAGGAAAATGCTAGAAATGTGCAAAAACAAGGGGTTCTTATCCTTTTTTATTGATAGGTTAAGAATGGTTTCTGTGTGCTTGGATTGCCCCTGTATACACAGAATTTTGCAATGAGAATAAAACCAATTTGTACCATTTAAACAGTGGAACACAGCTTACTCGGTTCTGAGATTGTGATTTATTTTCAGGAACTTCGAGACTTAGAAAAAATAATTTCATTCTTCCTTGGGCTTTATTTTAGAGAGGGGGACATGTTCAAGTCTATTGGCTCACCGATAGCTGACCTTCCTTTTTAGATGTGAAATGACAGACCCGTCATCTTCCAGGCTATATTCTATTCTGAAATGGCTGAGCCGAATCCCACTTTGACCACATCGAAATGCAGTAGACTCATCACTGGACTGAAGTTAAGAATTTTAAATATTCTGAATAAACTCATCTGTGAGCCTCTGAACAAGGGGCATATGCACGTCTATGTATGTGTCAGGATGAGATCGGTCTTGAAAACCACAGAGGAAAAGTTATTAGTAAGTACAAAAAAAAATACCTTGAAAGTAAATTGCTCATTGAAGACAGGATTAAGGGTCTTTCGGTGGACTTTTGTCTCAAATTTCTTCTTTTTATCGGGCAGCAGAAACACTTTCACATAGGGATCCGATGTGCCCCCCATGTCTAAGGCGGGCAGCTCAGCAGCCTGGATAATCCCTACCAGCAGCTGAAATGAGAGACAGAATACAGCAAACACAAGCATTGGTGGACATTTTGGAAAAGATTGACTTGTTCGCGATGTTGCATATTGTGATCTCTCTCTCTCTTCCTCTTTGCTTTTAATAAACTATTTCTCTTATCAATCTAAACACAGAAGGCAAATGAAGCAAGCCATATAGACTTCAGAAACCTAATTATGACAGATGCAGGCTCTAGGAAGCCTGGTTTTCAGCACAAAGGAGGCTTTTAAAAGGTTGCTGATTACAGTTAAATATGGAAGTCATATTTGCAAAAGGGTTGCAATCAAATAACTTTCCAGTTGCTAAAAGCCCTTGTGCATTATTTTTCTTTCCAGGGCGTGATTTGTAAGTGGAAATAAATTGTTAAACAATAACAAGTCTGATTATCAGGTAGGAAATTTTTATTCTGAACTCATAGCTTCAGACCAGCAAAATAGAAATTTCTTAGAAATTGGGTAATATTTTGTGATAAAAATAAGATAAGCAAGTTTCTATCATATTTGACCTTTATTTGTATGCTGCCTACTTTTTATTTTAACTTACAGTAAAGTTATTATTTATTCTGAAATTAAATCTAGGACATGGAGTCAAAGAAGTATAATTTCGGTTTCACATAAATGAATGTAAAATTACAGATATGGTTTTTAATGCTAAGTGACTAAGTTTCTGATTTTTCTTTCCCAAAAGCAGAGATTTCTCCATGTCTGTTTTCTCAGTGATACATTCCTGTCTTACTTATGAATGTGAGTGTAGGCTGGCATTGTTATTTTTGGGAAGAAAATAAAAGGTGTGCTTTCCAGATGCTCTGTCATCAGACATTTTGTATCAACAGACTGGCTTAGATTCACATGGGAAACAAAAGTAGACTCTTATTCAAGGTTATTCAAGCCATACTTGTCAGTAAATGTGGTTACATTATAACTTTTCACATCAGGCCTAAAAATTTGAGCCTGTGCCTTTTTAGCCAAATAGAGTGGAAATGCAATTCACTTTCTTTAAAAAAAAAAGTCACATTCATTTTTTTTGTAAAACTGACCCACCATGTTTTTAAGAGCGCTTTGGCTAGTTGGCTCAATTTTTAACCAGGACCAATACTCTGAATGACTGTTGTTTCCATTTTAATGCTCAATATGTTAGTGACATCATCATAACAACAGTAGGAATAAAAGTGCTGGATTGTAGGTATATAAAATACAGATGGTCAAAGAATAGCTAAAATAGACATCAGATTATAAAGACACGATTAGTAAAGCAAACAGTATGTCTCTTGGTTTGCCACTGGTATTTGGAATTTGCCTTTAGATAGCAATGTGAATAAACAAGATTCTATTTTCTCCTCAGTTTTTGAAATGAGTGTTCTTTTGGGCAGGGAATGCACTAGTGCTATAACCTAAACTCCTTAAACCTAGGTAACTTATATTTTAAAGATTTTTGGATATTTTGTTGATAAGGCGTGGAATTACTTCTAACCCCCCCTTCTCCCCTTCTGCTTGAGAGATAAGTATCACATTTCCCTTTGCCATGAAAGCTTCTCATTTAGAGCACTTTAGGGTTGACTTTTAGTTTTGGTAAGCAAACATGTATATTTGATTACAGCTTAATATATAAAATTCCTCAGGGGATGCCTGGGTGGCTCAGTTGGTTAAGCGACTGCCTTCGGCTCAGGTCATCATCCTGGAGTCCCTGGATCGAGTCCCACATTGGGATCCCAGCTGGGCGGGGAGTCTGCTTCTCCCTCTGACCCTCCCCCCTCTCATGTGCTCTCTCTCTCTCTCATTCTCGCTTTCTCAAATGAATAAATAAATAAATAAAATCTTTAAAAAAAATTCCTCAGACTTTATCTTTTCATGACTCATAGGAACCATTTTATAAATTAGATTAGCTGAAAACACTTGGAAAAAATTGATGCAGACTAATTAAAAATATTTCATCAGATAGAGTCTTCTAGATCCTCAGAATAAAATACTTTTTAAAAATTTGATGTTTGCTAGAAGGGGAACAGTAAAAGCACCCATTATATTTGAGTAAAAAAAAAATCAGTGCAATTTTTTTAAAGATGCTTTATAAGTAATACTTAAACTACTCCAGTTAACTTAGAAGTTTCAAAAATTATGACTAACAAGGATGAGATACCACTAGATTTCTACTGGATAATATGAAAGTAGAATAGTAAAAAATACTGGATGCATATATAAAGTCACGTTAAGTTTCTGGAAAAAACGTTACATGTTAATGTTGACCTTCATTTTCATCAGAATATGTAAATATTAGGAAGTTTTGCTCTTGACCAACTCCTGATTGTCAAATTTTGGTAGCTGGGATAGAAATGATCTCAAATGTCCTATTTAATTAACTATAAGTGGTATAATTATAAATGTGTATAAATCCATACCTATAAACTTGTATCTGTAACCAAAATGTGTTAGGAAATAACTAGCCAGGGCTGTAATGAAGCTGAGCAAATAAATTTTTTTAGTATGATAGAGCATATCAGTACATTTTTCATGAGGAACCGTCTGGAAATTCAGAAAGTTAAGACATTATTTAAATTGTTGATTTCTAAATACCACCCAGAATTCTTGCAACTACATGGAACTCTCCCCGTCTTACTGATTTTGGACTTTGGTTGTCAGAGCTGAGCACTGTTTTTGTTTGTTTTTAAATGTTCATTTCTTATCGTTATTTCAACATCAATGAAATAATTAACACAAGCTGCATCAGTAGTAGATGTATTAACATGTATCACTTTTTCCTCATGCAAAAAGATAAGTGAAGCAAAGCAGAGTTAAAATTCCCTTTGTCAGACAAGGACATTGTCCTAAAGATTCTTAAGAGCTCGATCTCTTATTCAGCTGATTCTACCAATTCTTTTTTTTTAATTCATTTAAAGATTTTATCTATTTGCGAGAGAGAAAGAGAGAGAGAGAGAGAGCGAGAGAGCGAGAGCGCGCGCGCGCGCACGCGCATGCGCGCTCACATGAGCATGGGTGGGGGGAGGGGCAGAGAGGCAGGAGAGAGCATCCTTAAGCAGACTCCCGCCATGGAGCACTGAGCCCCATGCTGGCAGATCCCAGGACTCTGAGAGCATGACCTGAGCCAAAATCAAGAGCCAGACACTCAACTGAATGAGCCACCCAGGCACCCCTCCACTAATTCTTATCTAGCTTTTTCATTTAACAAATCAGACGGAAAAGGGACATGGGCAATTTCATGGGTCATAGAAGGGTTTTTTTTTGTTTTTAATGTAGAGAATTTTTAACATTTTTTTTTGAGCTACCTCTAATGTGGTTAATAAAAGGTAGCTAATATCATCCATCTAGGTGCCACTTCACAGCTTTTTGAGAAGTTGAAGGAGGAGTGATTGTTTTGTCACTGCCTTCAGTTCCTTAACACCTCTTGGGCAGTAGTCACAAGCACTAGAAATCAAGTTGCTGGTCTTCTTTCCTAGAACGGTTAACTCGTTGGTGCTGGGAATTTTACCTAGTATCATGATATTACGGGAGGCAGTCAGTTTTTCATCTTTGATTCCTTATCAAACAGTTAGATTTTGTTTTTAAAAGCTTTGGTTGAATGGTGGTTTACCTCAACAGTTCCTTGCCCTGTTGGGATTGAATTCCATGAATTCCAAGGGAGATTGTTGTAGCTCAGGCTGATGGGCGGGTAGGAGTCAGACTGTGGCTGGGAGCTGTCAGAATCAGAACGACTATCTGCAGGTTCATTTGTATTCTGCCTGCCTGCAGTAAATGCCGTAAGTAGATGTAATCGGTTGAATACTGTGAATTCTAATTACCAGAAGTTAAATTAGCAAGTAGGGGACTGCCTGTACTTAGAAATGATTTCATCAATAGCTTTGATAATTGCATTTTCCCCTCTCAGCAAACGAAATGTTTTAAGAAGTATCTTGCTTCAATTTCTACTTGGTAATTTCAGAAAACGTAATGGAATTAGAAGTCATTTCCCACCCTCTCAGACCTGGTTATTCTGGAAATCATAATCCAGTGAATATTGGAGTTTCCCCAATTTCTCCTCTTCTTTGGGTTCTTCTTTCTCTTCCCCATCAGTCAATCCTGTTTCAGCGTCATCGTCCTTTAGAGCCTAGGAGTAGGGAAATGAAGTATATGTGAATTCAGGTGAATTCGTTGAAACCCATATCAACCTGGGCCTGTGGTTTTACTTCCAAGCTGTTAGAAGCAAGCACTGAGATGCTGGAAATTCATTTGTCTGACACACATTCACATTTGCTGCTTATATATTTTTAAAATTCCACTTGTGCACGGAATTTTCTTCCCCAATCAGCAAGCAACATGGAAGCAATGGAAAAGCCCCTCAGAATATGGCAAGCGAAAAATGTAAAGTTGTTGCAGAGAAATTTGACTTGGATTCACGTTTGGCTTTGGTAAAACTGCTTCTTTCAGAAGTATGATAAACATGCTTTATTAACCAGGCCAGGTTTCACATTCATGTAGTTTAAAGAGATCTAAGCTCAGCATCATGTAAAACATCATTGTTACATGCAGTGGAGAACTTATATGAAATGCGCGGCCTTTTCTTGCCTTGTTTCCTATGAGAAAGATAGCTGAATAAGTGATTCTCAAAGAATTTTAATTTCCTATGTTTCACATATACATTTATAATGGTTATGGAAAAAGTGGAAAAAACATGCCACCAGCAAATGCATGTTTAGAGGAAAATCTACCCCACTTCCAGTTGAAGTTTAACATTTTATTTTTATAACAGCTCCACAGAAAGCTAGGCTGAATTAAATTGATTTATGGGTCTATTTGAGATAAAAAAAAATAAAAGTAGTTACGTTTGCAATTTTGTCAAACTGAAATCAGCATTAACATTTATTTTGCATCAGTGAACAAAAATCATGGTTCTGAACTCTCAACTCAATTTGGACCAACTGAATAGTCTTTATAATCTAAAACTTAAGTGTAATGTAAAATGAAATACTAGAAAGCTCATCATTTCACAAAATACATTCAAATACTCCTCTATTTTGAAAATAAAAATAATGTATTTTCCCATGAAGTACAACTTTGCTGAAAGAAAATCAAAGGTTATAAAGATTATAAATATCAGGTAAGCTTTGTTTCTAGGGATATGCATTGTCATTGCTTTAGAGAATTAGGAAAAATAATTTTAAAAGCTAAATGTAGTTATTCAAAATTAAAAATGATAAAATTACATTTCCCTGATCACTAGTGAGGTGGAAAAATTTGAAAATCTTTATGGTAATCAATTGTATTTATTTGTCTGGGAACTGCTGGTATATATCCTTTGCTAAGTGTTCTATTGTTTTGTTTGGCTCTTACCGATTTCTAGAGACTCTTTGTATTTTAGTAGTCTCAACTTTTCTGTTATGTGTATTGCAAATCTTATTCCCTAGTTTTTGGTTATGGCATTTTCATTGCCTTTCGTGTGTGTGTGTGTGTGTGTGTGTGTGTGTGTGTGTGTGACTGGACTGTAGAATCCCACAGAAGTCAAGATAAGGCAGAGTGGGAGACTGCTTTATATCTGACAAAGTAAAGCAATTTTAACTCTTGTCAGCAGGTTAAATCTGAGAATTCTTGTAGTCAAATGCAGAAGTATAACCAGATTTCAGAAAGGCAAGAGGCATCAGACTACAGCTCCATCGCCCAGCCTCTTCCCACCTTCCAGAGTGTGTGGTCTTCTCTGCTGAGAGAAAGCTTTACTGTTCACTCGTTCATCTACACAGAGACTCACTGTGGTGTTTCAAAATGGCACTGAAATTGATAAGCTTTTCCAATTTGGCTCTACTCCGCTAACTCCAATTTGATCCTAAAAAAACCCCTGAGACTTGGTGGCATTGTATCAATAGAACTCATCTGGGTGGGAAGGGCATATAAACAGAGTTGAGCTGTAGTTGGAGATGCCTCCCTTTCTGTGCTTCTTTGAAAATTTTCAGGAGCCTACAATGAGTTTGGAAAATTAAAAATTACCCTTATTACATCTGTGTAGGAAAGTTGATATGAAATGTTTTCCTGAGTAGTAAAATGTTGGTTTCCTGATAGCCAAAGGCAGGCAACAATTTAATTACTTAAAAATTTAATCTTTTAACTGGGGCGGGGGATGGGTCATTATAGGGAACATGCTAGTAAGGTGACCAGAAAAGACAACTGAGTTTAATTAGAGGAGCTGAGGCAGTGAAATCACATTGCCCTTTCAAAACCTTAGCTGTCTGTTAGTCTTTAACACGCCCATAGATGTGCTTAGAAAATTGCAGCTTACGTAAATTGTCTCCCTATAAGATTTTGTTTTTAAAAATAATAGCAAGCTACTTAGTGCATGTTTTTGTCTGAAAAATCTACATGTTATTCTATCATAATTATAAAAAAATTCATGGATTAAAATACTTTTTCAAAAGTCTCTTTCAGAACTGACAATTTACATATCATGTTTCAGCCCAGTGCAATTTGAAATAGCTGAGATATTAAATCTCCTTCTTCCTAAGTGGTTTTTGCCCTAATAAAAGGTGCAGGACCATCTTTGCAATTATTCTGTATGAAATAGGGCTACATTTTTGATAATTTCTCAGTGCCACTGTTCATCACCGAAGTAATTAAGTCTATTCTTGTCCTGAAGGCTGAGCTTAAGCAGGATGTCTTCTGTACCATCACATTAAAATCAGACCTATGAAATCAGAAGCTATTATAATATCTCAAGAGCAGTACCCCTCTACCCACCCCCACCACCCCTCAACAAAATGTGGAGGAAAATGCTTGTAAACCCAGCAGTTTTGATGGTTTGCTAAGTTGCATTAGCGAAAGCCATGTGCTGGGAACATCAGATCTTGTTTTAAATTTCAAAGATTTAGCGAACATGCTTCTGGCTTGCTTCGACATTCAAAAGGTGCGTCATTTACAACCATCTGAAGAAGTTCTTCTAAGAGAAATTGTTCAGGTTTGGATTTGATAAGGCACACTTACAAAAGGTAGCACAAACGACTGAATTTTCTTTCTGTGCCCATCACTTTAAAAACTTGAGCTTTCTAATACTGTTCTATTTAATCAGTTAGTAATGTTTAAAATAAGAACCCTTTATCTTAAAAAATCTATTTTATTTTTTATTACAGATTTATTTATTTAAAAAAATCAATTTAGTTCAGCCTCTTGATGTGTGTCAGATGGTACACCCTGAGCTGTGGAACCCCAGCTGCCAGGCCACTAAATGTATTGGAGCATTGACGAGGGGTTTCTGAAGAGCAGAGGAGACCTACCGCAAGGGGGGGGGTCCAGAACAGTCATGAGACATAACACAGATAAGGAGGACATAGAAGGAAGAAATAAAAATTAAAAGATCCACACACATTAGTGAAAACCATGGAGAAATGACCTTTCCAGACCTATCACTTTGCAACTTGATACTGTCCCTCTGCATTTTCAGTGTTCTCAAGCTTCCAGGATTTAAAAACAAAAACAAAACCTTTATATATAAATCTTATGTTGTATAAATACACTGTTACTAGTGAGTTTGTTGTCATTATGGAGCTTTAGAAGTCTTTGTTGATTATGAAAATTTAACATAGAGACAGCCATGAACATTGGAATTTGAATTTCTGTCCATTCTTACATAGATTGAAATGGTGAAAATTTCCTGGTTGTCCTAGAGCTTATGTATCTTAAGAAATCATGTCTAAAATGCCTCTCACATCTGTTGTGTTTTTAAATGAGAGGCATAGACTATATTTGTTTTCCTCATGTTCACATCAGTACACTGTTTAAAATATTCTGAAAATGTAATTAGTTAAGAATTTTACTGAATTTCAAAACTTAGGCTGTTCTGAAGTTGGATGATTGAATGGTCACCATGTGATGTACTTCTTAAAACTGTACATTCTATTTTGCTTCTTCATCCTTCCTCTTCATAAAACAATAGAACCCATTATTAACTACTATTGCCTGCCGTTAAAAGTAGCATAAGCTACTGTTATATAACTGTTTACCGATAAGGCCTATTTTTGCTTGTCCAAATGATATTTCATTTTGTACATTTAATAGTTCATAAATCAAAATAAGATCTATAAAATCCTACATAGACAAGTAATCTACTTAGAATGATGAGATCTTTTTGAGTGGTTGAAATCCTAAATACTTTGTTGTAATAGATCACTGTAAACTATCACTGATTTCCTACCAGTATTTTCTTATTTGACTTATTTTCTCTTCCTCTCTCATCCAAAGGAATAGATGATCATTGAAAAATTAACCACCATCAGTTCTCTGTATGTAGTATTTTGAGATCTTGGTCATTTATCCAGGTCATTACAGGGGTAATAAACACCACTACTATACTATAAATTACAATCTTACATCATACAGAACAAATTCCACAAAGAAGAAAACAAATTTCTTATGCTAGAAAAAAACGCTGTAGTCATAATCTAACATTATTTAGTGCTTTTAATTGTTAATTCTTATATATGGGAAAATCACATTTGCATTATATTATAGTTACGAAAAAGATAGGGCTGTGTTCTCAAATGGTTGCTTAGATATAGCTGAAATTCACATACAAATTATTCAGTCCTTGTCCATCTAGCACATTGTTCCTACACCTAATCTCCCAATAAACTGTTTAAAGAAATCTCTGTCAGAGGTCTACTTGTTATTCAAAATGTTGAAATAAACAAGATCTGTTTTCAAATTGTAGTTTTTATGTAACAAATTAACCAAAGAGAAAAAGCCTTATTAGAACCCTATGGTCCAACTTCTGTGGCTGTGATTAGAAACTCAGAATGTAAACCTTGTTGTTCTGAGCTCAGGACAAATCTGAGTGTGAGTGCAGGCACTGCATACGTTCTACAACTCTGAAACCAAACAGAAGTTGAGTGAGTAGAGAGCCTTTGTGAAATTGTTGTTAATAGACATTACAGTATCTTTGAGAAAAAGTGTTTAAATCTCAAGCTGGGGAGTGGAGTTGGTGCCCTGAGTGGATGGTTAACTAGGAAACTATGCAAATGTGCTAAAAATGCCCTCCTTGACTAAATTGTTAAGAAGATTCACCTAGTCAGGAGTTCAATTAATAGTAATTAATATGATTAGAAAAATTAAAAAAAAACTGTCAATGTATGTTGCTATTTGGGAATAAATAAAACTTTTGAATTATTTGAAAGGAAACAAAGATAATTGAAATTGTTCTTTCTATGAAAAAGCTCTACATTTATGTTATTAATATGAATTAAATATTCTTTAAAGATATCCACTATGAAAATGAGTCAAAAAAATAACGAAGAGGCATTTAATTATAACTATTAATAGTAAACTTTGTTCTGAACAAAATCATCCAGTTAATTTAATAAAAATAGACCACGATGTAAAGAACATCCAAATAGCTTCCTGAGACTCTGGAAGATAACCCAGCCAGATGGGTTCCATAACCTGTGTTGTGGTTTCATTGTCCCTAACTATCCAAACAAGAATTTTGCCCTAAAATTATGCCCTGTTCTTTAGGACTAGCTCGTAATTCTCTCCCTTTTAACTCACTGTTTAACTCAGTCTTCCTGAGCGCTCATTATTGAGGTGGATGGATCTATAGGAACGGTAATTTTCATCTAGTGTGATAAAAGGCCATAAGTCTGAGTGATTTAACAGTGATTATGAAAAGTGGAAATGTGAGAAAGGCAGCCTGCCCAAGAGGGAGAGCATTCAGATACTCTCGATTCTGTTTCTCTAACTCTAAATGCAATTAAGACTGGCTGAACAGATGTAATCCAAATACTCAGGCATCATTCCAGTCCGCTGGGCCTGTCAAGATGGCCCTGCCAGTCTTCGATGCCCTTTTCTGGGTCAGATGCTTAGAAGCCTGGAAAACTCTACCAAATGTTTTCATTGCACTTTGGGACATTGAGTAATGAATGAAAGGATGGCAAAGCATTTTTGACAACAGTGACATCTGTCCAGAAGTTGTTTACTTCTATACTTATCTGGTATAAAAAATAAGCCATTTATTAACTTTTAATAAAATCATCAAAGAAGTAATACGGAATGAAGACATTACCTGATCTTTCATGGTCTTCCCTAAGTCTTTCACATCTTTCATGTTAATGGCATTCTTTCCTCCCTTCTCTTTTCCCTTCTTCTTGTTTTTCTTTTTGAACAAACATTTCTTACAGATACAAAAGCAGCAGGTCAGCACTAAGAGGACAGCGACTATGGCTATGGCAATTAAGGCCCATGGTGGCACTGAAAGAAAAAAAAGTTGGAGAAGGCATTAGTAGTAAACACCGCATGTCCAGTTGGCTACAAAAGTATTCACTGGTTAATTTGTATTTATTGAGCGCTCCAGGCACACTGTTCTGTGTCATGCTACCCATGTTTCCCCTGCCTGGATGGTGGTTTCTGTTTCTACTTCACCCTTCTGCACATGTCAAATATGCCTTCCTCCAAGCTAGATTTCCATTCATCCATTCCTTCCTTCATCCAGAGCACAGCTCTGGAGTTTGGCCTTGGAGCTGAAATCCTGGCTCTATCATTTACTAGCTCTGTGATCTTGGGCAAGTCATCTAAATTCCCTTCGCCTCAGTATCCTCATCTCTAAAGTGGAGGTAAATTGGTAGGTATCATAGACTTCCTGAAGATTAAAATAAGATGCATTTCCTGGCACATGGTAAAAGCTTAATAAATATTAGCTGCTATTACTCATCTGTTAAATACTAGAGGTTCTATTGATATGTTCTGGGTGTAATGGGAGGGGCGGACATCAATCGAATAACCAGAGAAAACAAATATAATAATGGTAGTAAAGGCGAGGAAGAAGTACTTGGTGCTCTGAAAGTCACCCACTCTAAAAGTAGGACATTTACCTGCTCTGAGTCTGCAGAGGCAGGGCAATGGTTATGTTCAGTGGATCTGAAACCAGGCTTCGATTCAGGGTGGCCACTTTCAGGCTGTGTGACTCTGGCTAGATTGCTCAACTGTTCTGAGTTAGTTTCCCTCTCTATAAAGTGAAGATAATAGTGGTACCTATTTCGTCTCCTTTGAAAATTAAGGGAGTTAATACACTAAAACGTTTAGAATGGCATCCAGCACATAGCAGGAACTCGATGTTAGCTATCTATTTTCAAGGCATACAGCTAAGTATTATGGGTAATATGGAACACTCCGAGTATATGTGGGGACATAACCATGCACACTAATAAATACATATAAAAAAACACAGAAGTTCAGGGGATATGCTAGGGGAAATTGAGAGGAAGAGATGATTTTTTTTTTTTAGTAAAAGCTTCAGATTTATCGGCTCTGTTTAAAATAATAGAGCATATATAAATAAACATAAAAACATTTTTCTATTACAGTTGTCCATCTACTAAAAGTAACTCTCTTTTCTTATTTGGTGTATCCTATACCATGTGCTTATATTACAAAAAAAGCTCTTGTGGAAATATTTAAGATTGCACTTTGCCCGGAAAGGATTTATTTAACCGTTGAGATTGATCAGAAGAAGTAATTAGATTTGCCTGCTGTAATTAAGAAGAGACACTGGACACTGAAATGGTAAGAAAAAAACTATTTTCTTCTAGCTACGTAAACATCATTAGGATCAATGATTGCTGAACATAAGTCAGGACTACTTCGGTAAAGCAGAAGCACTTAAAAATTAACCTCTCTTCAAAACGCAGAAAACCCCACTCTTTGCTGTCCTTCTGCATTTAGCTTTATGGTGTCGAACACTTACTATGTGTTTTATTCTAGCATACGATTGGCTAATAAATGTTAGCCTAAGGACATATAAAAGCATAACTTCTGAAACTGTGTTTTCAGCCAAAGAAATATTGGAAAGTAATATATAAGCCCACATCAAACACCATGTTTTCTTATGTTCTCTAATCTCCTTAATCATATTTTTAAAAATGTTAATTAAACTTATGTAACCAATGATATCATTCATAATACCTCATTTAAAACCTTATACCTCTTTTGATCTAGTTAAAACCCTGCCACGCATGAACGAGAGAATCTACGTATTCATTGCAGTTCAGACAGTATTAATAATGACCCTTCATTCTGAACCTCGTAAATTATTCTTCTAGTCGGACTTGTGTGATAGTCTCTCAGAGAGTTACATAAAAATCTCTTAAATTACACAGGACAAGACAGAGATCATTTGACAACCTCACAGAAAGAAAATAGCGAAAGTGCAGCAACAGTATTTAATCACAAGGAGTTAAAGACATAGGGACATAGGATTACAGGGGGAAATCTTAAATAGTGCAACTTGAAGGTAAATTATAACCATTGAGAAAATTTTATTTTGTGACTTTTATTTCTTAAAGTGCTACCGTATTCTAGGTTTGATCTCCTGAATAGCTTAATTTCTAACTTTGAATATCCTATATTGAATATATGAAACTCACAAAATTTTCCTCACAATTTACTGGCACCTTTAGATAGAATTAAAAAAAGCTTAAGGTTATCATTTTGTGTACCCTTACCTATGACTGAATAGTTATTTGGAATATAAACCACCATTTTTAATTTGAGTTATTTGAATTGAATTCTTATCTTAAATTCTGTGGAGATCAACCAAATACTTAGAATTTGGTAAGTTTGGTAAGAAACACCATCTATAGTATTATTCATTGTAGTATTTATAGAAATGTTTCAATATGAGTGAAAAAATATTATATATTTTCTATTAAGCTAAAAATTGATGGAAGACCTACTTAATATGGGCAAGCAGCTGCTACTGTTTTTACATTCATTAGCTTATTTAATATTTATAGCAGTTGTGTTCATTATCTCTTCAATTTTATACAAGAAAAACTTTACAGGAGGAAAAACTATAGATGAAATAGTTTGAGTAATTCAAATCTATCTTTACATTATTAGCTAAAAATATATATATTTTAAATGTATACAAAGGAAAACATCTTTAGCTTTGAAACCTTTTTAATAAAACATTTTGTATTAAAAAACAACAGTAAAAATAAATAAGAGCAGAAGATGCTGCCAAGAGTGATTTCCATAATATAGAGTATGGCTTCAATAAAAAATGGGCTCATCAAAATATTGCTATTGGCAGAAAGCTATTAGCTTATTGTTATTGTCACCAACTATGATTAAATGGAAATTTTATAAGAAGAATTTTAACATTTAACTTAAAGACCTTTCAGCAGAAAATAATAGATGAGTGTAAAAGCTTTCCTTTAAAAACGTTGTTTTCATCCAGTTAATGAATTAATCTCACATTGTTTAACCCAAGGGTAAGCTGATGCATAAGAATTAAAGTCAATTCTAAACTGCTTCTGATGTTTTAACTTAGACTTTGCGGTAGGCAGAATTCGGATTCCTCCAAAATGTCCACAGGCTATCCCCTGGGACCCATGAACAAGTTACTGTACACAGCAAAAAGGACTTCCCAAATGTGATTTAGGATCTTGAGATGGGGTGGTTATCCTGGGTTACATCCAGATAGAACTGATGCAATTACTAGAGTCCTTACACGTGAAAAAGACAGGAAGGATTTTCAGAATCAGAGATTTGAAGATTCTATGCTGCTGATTGTGAAGAGGGAGGAAGGAACGATGAGCCAAGGAATTGTAGGTGCCTCTAGAAGCTGGAAAAGGCAAGGAAATGGATTCTCCCCTACAATTTTAAGAAGGCGTCAGTTCCTATGGCCATTATGGAAAAGAGTATGGAGGTCCCTCAAAAAATTAAAAATAGAGCTACCGTATAATCTAGCAATCTCATTCTGGGTATATATCCCAAGGGAAAAAAATTTACTATTTTACAGTAGTATATTCACCTCTATGTTCACTGAAGTATTATTCATAATAGCCAAGATAAAGAAACAACCTAAGTGTCCATGAATGGATGAAGGGATAAAGAAAATGTAGTATATATACATATTTGGAATATTATTCAGCCATAAAAAAGAAGGAAATCCTGCCATTTGTGACAACATGGATGACTCTTGAGGGCACTATGTTAAGTGAAAAAAGTCTGTGATGGAAGTCATATAGACAAGTCCTGTATGATCACATTTAAATGTGAAACCTATAAAAGTGGAGAACTCATGGAACGAAGAGTAGAATGGTGGTTACCAGGGGTTGGAGAGTGGGATCAATGGGAAGATGTTGGTCAAAGGTACAAACTTTTAATTATAAGATGAATAAGTTCTGGGAATCTAATGTACAGCATGGTGACTACAGTTAACAAGACTGTGTTGTATATATAGATGAAATTTGCTAAGAGACTAGATCTTGAATGTTCTTACAACACACACATGCAATCATGTGAGGTGAAGGCTGTGTTAACTAGCCCACTTGTAATTATTTCATAATATATACATATATCAAATCATTATACTGTACATCTTAAATTTAGACAAGGTTATTTGTTAATCTCAAAGTTGGGGATTAAAAAAGGAATCAGCTCTTCTGACAGTTTGGGTTTAGCTTAGTGAAAACTATTTTAAACTTCTGACCTCCAGAATGAGGAAATAATAAATTTGTATAGTTTTACATTTGTGGTAATTCATCATAGCAGCGATCAGAATCTCAAGAGATAGAAATCAGACCTCAAGAGATTTGTGATGTGCTGCATATAGATGATTCTACAATTGGAATATCAGTTTGGGCTATTTCTATATTTTCTATGATCTTCTCATTCACAGCTTTGATCCATCTCTTCTGCAACCATTCTCATGACACTAACATTGCAACCAAGACACTCTCAAAGATAACCAATGGTTTTCCTGTGGCCGAACACAAACAACATTGTCCATGGTATGAGAAAATCTTGATCCTATATTTCTTTTTGAAATTTCCTTCTGCTGTTGTTTCTGCTGCCCTTACCAGCATCATCTTGTATGGATCTGACATTTTTCTTCTTTCCTTTCCCGCTCCCAAGTCTTTAAATGGAGTTCTTATTCAAAGTTCTTAGCTTCTTGTTCATTTTCACATTCACGCCTTAAACTCTTACATCAGTTATCCATCCTGTTTCCTCTTAACTACACTGGGACTGTATCTCCCACTGCCTACAGAATGTTTCCTATGAATCCGTCATCTCAAACCAGTTCACCAAACCAGCTCTATGACTCCTCTTAGCGCTTCAGTGATTGCCTGCTTGTTGTATCTTGGAACCAGGTGGAAAATTTTCTCCCAAGCCTGATTGAGGGGCAAGTCGTGCCATCTCTTCTTCCATATGTTTTATGCTTCCTTTACATCTATTTCTACTTGTAA